AGGCCACAGGAGAAGCCGCGGGACACGCAGTCCGTTCACAGTGCAGTCGCTGAGTCCACACTTCCAATCGCACAGGGGGCGCAGCCAACAGCCGCAGAGCTCGCGCTTTCATCCGCGCTGAATGCGCCAGCGTCGGAGGCGCCTCCTGGGGGGGTGCATGCGCCTCCGCCTCTACTCACAGCGCTGCAACTGCGACAGTGGGCGCCGAGACGACGAGCACGATTTGGAAGAAAGGGGGCCTGCGAGAGCCCCATCAGATAGGAAGGGCCCCCGACGCTGCTCACAGCGCTGCATTGCTGGCTGGGGGCGCCGAGAACACGAGGCGAGCACGGAAGGGGGGCGAGGGGCGCGCCCCTTCCGCTGGCTGTGTTTTGCAGGGAAGCGACGGGCCTGCTGCCAGTGACCACCCTCCACGCACCTGATCCCCGCGCGTGCGATGCCACAGGGGGGCAGCAAAGGCTACTGTAGGGCGACGGCCCACCACTGTATTTTGCGCTTCTTGGGGGCCTGGTTGTTCGCGTGGCCCTTTGCCGCGTGGTGATCACTGCTCACTCCGCCGCACCGACCCAGGTGCAGCTGCCACAGCCGAGTCCAGTCGACGTCGAGGCCCAGCGCTTCGCTGACGACCCGTACGTCGCACTTGTGGCTGCAGAAGGATTCCAGGAAGAGGCGGCAAGCTTGCGGGTCGTGCCGAAGCGGGTCGAGCGCGCCCTTGCTGCCGGGAACAGACTGCCGCTTGGCGAAAGCGTGCCAGGTGCCAATGAAGAATGGTCCCAATGTGACTTGGGGTCGTCTTATCGCCTCGCCGGGTGTCTCCCCAGGGAGGTCCCACTGGATGTTTTTTGATTCATGTTTTGTACAGCTGTTGTCCCGTGTCAGGGTCCTTGGGCTCTGGCCATTGGCGCGGGTCGGGCCCTTGGTGCCGCCGTGCATCCTGGCCGCTAGTCTCCAACGTACTGGCCTCGTTGTCCCGGCCGGAGGGCTCGCGATCTGCTCGCGACAGCTCCGGTTGCGCGCCTGGCGGGGTTCCGGGGGGAGAAACAGGCCGCATGGTTGGCCGCCAGGCGGGGGTCGGATCGCATTCGGCGGCCAGGGCAGACGCAGCCTTGTGGCACGTGGGGAAGGGCCCCTTTCGCTGGCGTTCGCCTTCGGGCCTGCGCCCGCCGTCGCTCCCAGGCGCGACCCCCCTGGTCAGAGCAGGGCTCTCTCCAGGCTCTGGGGCACCGCTGGTTGTGCCAGGCGCGTGTACGCACGGCGGCGCAGCTTCCATAGCCGGGGCACGAGCTGCTTTGCCAGTAGCGCCCTGGGCGCCCGGAGAGGGCGCCTAGGATTCGCCGCCCATGAGAAGTTCACTGACAGGGGAAGAAGGGGGGCGACTCGGCGCGAAGGGGCTTCTCCCGACGAGCCAGTGGATGGCTTCGCTGTCCTGCGTCTGGATGGTTGTTCCGTGGTCTCCTTGCTGGGTGTGTGGCGCTCCCAGAGGACTGCTGATGCCCTGCTGGTACTGCTGAAGGGGGGAGTTGTTAGTGTGAGCTGCACACTGATCACTGCAGGCTACCGCCTCTCGATGCCCCTCTGGGACGTCATCTTCTGACAACGATGCGGGGGGTGGTATCGTGACCCTAGCCTCATTTCCCCTGCCCTGCGGGGTGCTGTTGCTGCTGTTGCTGCTGCTGCTGCTGCTGCTGCTGCCCTGCTGCTGCTGCTGCTGCAGCTGCTGCTGGGTCCTGTTGCTGCTGCTGCTGCCGCTGCGGCTGTTGCTGCAGCTGCTGCTGCTGCTGCTGCCTTGCTGCTGCGGTTGCTCCTGTTGCTGCCCAGCTGCTGCGGCTGCAGCGGCTGCTGCAGCCCTGTTGCTGCTGCTGCTGCTCTGCTGGTGCCTGCAGCTCTCTTTGTGCTGCCCACCTCCCTGCTCGAGGCAACTCCTCTCCTTTCCTCTGCCCTGCTGGTACTGCTGAAGGGGGGGTTGTTAGTGTGGGCTGCACACTGATCACTGCAAGCTACCGCCTCTCGATTCCCCTTCTGGGACGTCATCATCTGCCAACGATGCGGGGGGTGGTATGTTGCTGCTGCTGCTATTTTCCGACATGTCGTTGTGAGTAGCGAGATTTCTCGCGTCAGCGCCAGGGGCTTCAGAGACAGCCGACCGAAGGATTCCAGAGACGCTGGGCCCAGGGGGGGCCTCCAGGCGGGATCCGGGGGCCTCAGAAGGGACGACGATGCCAGCAGGTAAATATCGGTTGTCGTCGCGTCGGTCGTCAGCGTCGTCGTCTCCAGGTTGGCCAAGCAGCTGCCCAGTGATCTCGGGCTCGATGAACCACATGGTCGCCAGCATGCTCGCGCGGCCGTGCTCCAGCTCGGCGTGCCGTCGGCGGCGGGCGGATGTGGCCGTTCTGCCATCCGCTGTGAAGCCAGCGGCGTCCCAGGGGCCCGCTGGGGCTAGAGCGTCCAGCGAGTTCTCGATGACGCGCAGCGGGGATCCAGTGTACGGCGCGGCGGCCGCCGCCAGCGGCCCGCCCGAGGCGGCGGCGGCGGCGGCGGCAGCGGCGGCCGCGGCCGCGGCACGGCCAGCCACATGCACCAGCGCAGCCGCCGTTTCCCAGAGGCCGGCGGCGGCGGAGGCCTCGGCGGCAGCCGCCGCGTCCGCGGCGCATGAGGCGGCAGCAGCCGGGCCACCAGCCGCGGCGGCGGCAGTCCAGCCCGCGAGCAGCACGGGGCACGCCAGCCCGAGCAGGGCACCAGCAGCGGCGACGCCAGCAGCGTCACGCCCCCCCCCCCCGGCTGCGGAGACGGCGGAAGGGGGCCCAGGGTGCGGGGCAGCGGCGGCAGCCCAGCGGGCAGCCAGCGCCCGCCGTTGGCCCCGGCGGCGGGCGGCACGCGACAGCGCAGCGGCGGCGGCACCAGGCGCGCCCGGAGGACCGCCAGCGCCAGCCGCCAGCCGCGGGGAAGCGCCCGCCATGGCACGGGAGGGGGGGGGGCCAGGAAGGGGCACCCCTTCCCGGCTCCCCCCCGGGCGCGCCGGAGGTCAGGGCCGACCTCCGGCCCCAGGGGCGCGGGCGACGGGCCAGCTCGGCAACCTCGAGCCAGAGCGGCCTTGATCCAGGCTACGGAGCTGGTGGGGATACGCGAAGCATCAAGCATTAGATGGGGGGCATGCGAACCATGCCACTGGGGCCGTCGGTGGAGCTCTCTATGGCGCCACGAAGCGTGCGACGGATGTGTAAAACTGGAGGAAGGCGGCATGCGGAGGGAGGGCCGCATGCCAACCATGCCAGTGGGTCCTTCGGTGGGGCTACATATGGTGCCACGAAGCCTGCGTGGGGTGTGCCAAAGTTGCGAAGGTGGACATGCGAACCATGCCACTGAGTAATTCAGTGGAGCTCCCTGCGGGGCCACGAAACGTGTGCAAGGGTGTGCCACATTGGACGTGGGGCGGCATTCCAGCCATGCCTCTGGAGACTTTGGTGAAACTCAGTATGGGGTGATGAAACGTGTCAGGAATGTGCCAAAGTAGAGGGGGCGCGGCACGTGAAACATGCCACTGCGGCCTCCAGTGGAGCTCCCTATCGGGCCATGGAGCGTGTGAGGGGCGTGCCAAAGCGGAGGGGGGCGGCATGCGAACCATGCCAATGGAGCTGTCGGTGGAGATCCCTACGGGGCCACGAAACGCGCGATGGGCGTGAATTATTCCGCGCCGTCTTGTAGTTATTATGCGTGTGCGTATTAGCATTGGTATTCGTATTACGTTTCTGATTCTCACTACTAATTAACAATATTCGTCTTCGTATTCATATTTTTCGGATTTGTCTGAGGCCCTCTCGAGGGCCCTCTGGAGGGTCTCTGGAACCGTCTCGAGGCTCTCTGGACCGTCTGGAAGCCATCCGAAGCTCTCTTGGGGCCGTCTTTTTGTCGTTTTGGTGTCCTCTTGGGCCGTCTTGGGGGCCTTGTGCCGCTTCACCACAAAAAAAAAAGGAAACGGGCTGTGGAAGGCGCCCGCGAACTCGACAAAATACAAAGGAAACGGCCCACTCTGGCCATTAACGCTCGTACGTCTGGCCCTCGCCCCTCCCCTGGACCCCCCCCTAAAAGACTTCGCCCCACCAAAACGTCATCGCTCGTACCTCGCTGTTTCCGTTACCTGGGCCGGCACCGGAACCGGAAAGAGCGCCTCGAGAACTTGCCCGAGAAGGCTCTTGAAACCCTTCGCTCCGGGGAGCATTGGCGCGAATAACTTGTTACGTCGCCGCTCTCCGTTGGGAGCCCCGGTGTTCAGAGACTTTTACGTTGCCGCTCGCTCTTGGGAGCCTTGGTGTGACGAGCTCTTTACGTCACCGCGCTCTGGGGAGCCTTGGTGTCAAGAGCTTGTTATCTCACCGCTCGCTGATGGGAGCCATATTGTGTTCTTGAGCGTCTCTGGTCTCCTTGGGGCCATTGGGGAAGCCTTCTGGGCCAATTTTGTGCCGTCTTCGGGCCCTTCTGGGCCGTCTTGGGGCGGCTTGGAGGCCTTTGGCCGTCTTGGGGCTCCCTCGGGGGTCTCTCTGGGCCCTCTTGGGAGCCTCTGTGGGCCCTCTAGGGGCTCCCTTGGGGCCGTCTTGGGACCCTCTTGGGCCGTCTTGGTGCTCTTTTGGGCAGTTCGGGGCTCCTCTGGAGCAGTCTTGGGGCCCTCTCGGACTGTGTTCGGGCCCCTTCGGGGGCCTATGGGGCCGTCTTGGGATGATCTTTGGAGCCTCATGGCTGCTTTGGACAGTTCTTGGCCCGAAAACGCAAAACCCAAATAAACCGGCGAAAACCTGCGACAAATCAGTGTCTTTTGCCCCTGGGGGTCGTCTCGGGGGCCCTCTGGAGGGCCTGTGGATCCATCTCGAGGCTCTCTTGGAACGTCTGGAGGCCATCTGAGGCTCTCTCGGGGCCGTCTCTGGGTCGTGTTGGTGCTCTCTTGGGCCGTCTTGGGGCCCTTTGTTTGTGGAGTTCTGGCGGCCCGACGCCCGCCGCGGCCTGCGTTCTGAAGGCGATGGCTCTACGCGAGCGGCGTCGGCCGATGCTTCCGCGCCCACGTCGGCGCTCTCTCAAAAGTCGAGCGGACTGTATCGGTGTCAGTCGTGAGCCCGCCACTTCCTCGGGCATGTCCAAGCGCGGCGCGGGTGGTGCTTCCCCTTATTCGGGCAAGAAGCCAAAGCATTTTGCCCGTCAAACTGGCCCGCAGCCCGTTGTAGGGACTTGAGAGTTGCATTTGCAGGCCAACGCCCAGCAAGCTGGCTCAGACGGATCATGTCCATGGAAAGCTTCCGCCCGTATTCATACATCGCCAATTCAAATCGATAGCGATACCTGAGTTGATTGTATATGTCTTCGGGTAGATACTCACTCGGGTGTCGGTGGACTTTCTGGGCGACCCCGCAATATGAAAAACCAAGCTCAGCGCAGAGCAATTTCATAGAAGTCGCATAATTGCCCTGATCAATAATCAAATCGAATGACGCCAAGCGTCGCTTCGCAAACTCTACGTCCTCCCATGACAAATTTGCGGGTAACGGCGTACCTATAAGCTTACGCAAACCATATTTATCTGAACTGCACATGTCCATGTTAGTACCATTGGCGAATGTCCTCCACATCCCATCACCAGCAAAAGTTCGCTCAATCGAATCCCGCAAGGAAACCAGGCTGACAAATCCGTCCGCATCGCACGGCAGGAAGCTGCTCAAGTCTTCTGGCGGTATCTCGCTTTCCTCCTTCCACGCGCTGAACCACCGATGGGTCGAATTATCTGGGGCCATGAGGAAGGGATCTGCGTCGATCTCGCAGAGGCCATTCAGTTTGAGGATGCTCTGAATGTTCCTTCCAGCATGGTGAGTGATATGGAAAAATGCAGCCTCCCGCCGTGCATCCTGTACTCCAGAAGAGCAGCCTCGCGGTTGTGAGAACACTCCTGCGGGTCCTGGACGGTGCCGTTCCTGCCGGGCCGGGCGAAAGGGGGGGATAGCAAAGGGGGGGGGGGGGTGAGAATCAGCTCGCGTGGCTGATGTTCCCGGCGCCTCCCGGCGCCCCATGTATCGAGGAATGGGCCCCTCGGTGGGGCTGAAACCAGCTGCATACAGCAGATTTCGTGCCCCCTCCTTTCCCAATCCCCCCCTTTCGTCCGGCCCGATCCTGGCACGGCCCGCAATGGGGCCCGAGGCGGCGCTCCCAGGTCGTGCTTCCGGAATACGTCGTGTGCTGCTCAGCACCTTGCCGGGCGCGGAGAGGCCCAGAGTTGCCAAAGAGCAGGAAGAGCAGGAAGGCCAGGCCGAAGAGCAGGAAGGCCAGGCCATGGCCAGCATTGCCGCCCAGGCGGTCGAGCGGGCCAGCGTCTGCCCCGTGCCCGGCATCGGACGCCACGCGCTGCAAATACAGAGGCTCGGCTGCTGTCACGGGGGGGCGGCCACGGGGCCTCCCAGCGCTTGCACCGCGGTGGCTTGAGCTTGAGCCGAAATGGCTACGGATTGGGCCGTCGTTGGGCCCCTTAAGCCGCTTCCCTTGAAAAAACAGCAGGAAACGGCCGTGGAAGGCGCCCGCGAGCCGCTTCACTCGAAAAGTGCAGCAAGGAAACGGACCCCGGCGGCGATGAACGCCATTGCGCGCGGCACTCGCCCCTCCCCTGGACCCCTCCCTAGAAAACTTCGCCACACCAAAAGGTCATCACTCGTACCTCGCTCTTTCCGTTACCTGGGCCGGCACGGAAACGGAAAGAGCGCCTCGGGAACTTGCCCGAGAGGGCTCATGACACCCTTCGCTCCGGGGAGCCTTGGCGTAAAGAGCTTGTATCGTCGCCGCTCCATGATGGGAAACCTGGTGTTCAGAGGCCTTTCCTTTGCCGCTCGCTCTTGGGAGCCTTGCTGTTCAGAGCTCTTTACGTCACGGCCTTGATGTTCAGAGCTTGTTACGACACCGCTTGCTGTGGGGAGCCATGGTGTTCCTTGTTGTCTCTGGGGCGTCTTGGTAGTCTTCTGGTGTGGGCCCCAAAAACGGCAGGGCAATTTTTTCACCGATTCCGAAAATGTGTCCCTTGAAAATAGAAACGGCAAAAAATCTGCGACCGGAAACGGCAAAAAAACGGCTCCAGGATTGGACCTGGAGCCGGAACCGGTCAAAAAACGGCGACAGAACCGGTGAAAAAACGGCGTCGGAACCGGCAAAAAAACTGCAAAACGGAACCGGTAAAAACACGGCCCTGTCTTTTCCAGGGCCCACTAAGTTCTGGTGGCCCTTTTGGACAGTTTTGGGACTGTTGGGCCGTCTTAGGGCCAGCCCAGTCCCCACACCCAAGTAGCCCAGTCCCAACACCACCTCTTCGGGCTCTCTTGGGAGCCTCTTGGGGTCATCTTAGTGCTCTCGTAGGGCCGTCTTGGGGCCCTCGTGGGGCCCTGTGAGGCCGTCTGGGGGGCCCTCTTGGATAGTTTTCGGGCCCTTTGGGGCCGTCTGCGGAGAATACTTGGGACCGCGTGGGCCGTCTGAAGCCCTTCTGGGCTCGAAAGACGAGAATCTCAAAAACCTTGAAAAACCTTAGGACAAACAGTGTGTTTCGCCTCCTGACGCCCTCCTGGGGGCCCTCTTGAGGGCAGATTTGATACTCTTGGGCAGTCTTGGGACCAGCCCAGTCCCCACACCCAAGCAGTCCAGTCCCACACCGCCCCTTCGGGGCCCCCTTGGGAGTCTCTTGGGAGTCTCTTGCGAGCCTCTTGCGAACCTCTTGGGGCCCTCTTAGGGCTCTCTTGGGGCTGTCTTGGGCCATCTGGTGCTGTATTGGGGTCCTCTCGGACCGTCTGGGGGCCCCCTTGAATAGTTTGCCGCCTCTTTGGGAGGCCTCTGGGGCCGTGTTGGGACGAGAAGTGGGACCTCATGGGCCGTGTTGGGGCCGTCTAGGCCCGAACAGGCGAAAAGCAGAAAAACCCTACGGATACCAATCTGTTTGGCCTCCTGAGGTCCTCTCGAAGGCCCTCTGGAGGGTCTCTGAAGCAGTCTCGAGGCTCTTTTGGACCGTACGGATGCCATCCGAAACTCTCTTCGGGCCGTATTTTGACCGTTGTGGGGCCCTCTTGGGCCGTCTTGGGGCCCTTGAGCCGCTTCACTCGAAAAAATACAACGAAACGGGCCCTGGAAGGCGCCCGCGAGCCGCTTCACTCGAAAAATACAACAGATTGGTGTGAAGAGCTTGTTACGTCGCCGCACTCCGTTGGGAGCCCTGGTGGTCAGAGATTTTTACGTTGCCGCTCGGTCTTGGGAGCCTTGGTGTGAAGAGCAGTGTACGTCACCGCGCTCTGGGGAGCCTTGGTGTCAAGAACTTGTTACGTCACCGCTCGCTGATGGGAGCCATGGTGTTCTTGAGCGTGCCTTGGGCCTCGTCGGGGTCTTCTTAGGGACCTCTTGGGGCCCTTTGGGGGCCCTTTTGGGACAAGTTTGGGTCGTCTTGGGGTCCTTTTGGGCCGTCTTGGGGCGTCTTGGAGGCCTTTGGCCGTCTTGGGGCTCTTTTGGGGGCCTCTTGGGGCCCTCTTGGTAGCCTCTTTGGGCCCTCTTGGGGCTGTTTGGGGGCCGTCTTGAAGCCCTCTTGGGCCGTCTTGGTGCTCTTTTGGGCAAATGTGGGTCCCTCTGGGACCGTCTTGGGGCCCTCTTGGACTGTGTACGGGAAATTTCGGAGACCTCTTGGGCCGTCTTTTTTATTTATTGTCTTTTCTAAACCACGGCGACGCTGGCCCACGGCAAGTCGAAACCAAAACGCTCGACTCAAGAGATCCTCTTCGGAAGCTAATTGCTGCAGCGCCACTTGACACATGTATCGGATGGCCCATGCGTTCCTGGATGAAGTTAATCGCCTGTGGTCTCTTCCGATGCTGACTTTCAAATACAGCCCGCGGAACTCAATACCCGAAAGCCTGGACTCAGACTAGCTCTCGCTGTCCCTGGGTGGTGCGATTTGCGGAACTGTCGCCGGTATGAAGGTCGTTTAAGGGGGCTAGCACAGTGACGCCATACGTGGATTAAGGTTCGACCTCGCTATCCCTGGGGGTCTGCGATGTGCGAAACTGTCGTCGTTTTCGGGGCCTGCTGGGGGAGGATGGCACAGCGACGCCATACGCGAACCCACACTAGACTTCGCCATCCCTGGGGGGCTGCGATGTGCGAGACTATCATCATTTTCAAAGGCATCCCTGGGGAACGCGACATAGCGAGGCCTGACCCTGAGTCAAACCAAACTTCGCCATCCCTGGACGAGAAGGCTACAATCTGCGACCCTGTTGCAAGTATTGAAGCCTCTTGGAAAGGCAACACATTGGGCCGACCCAAATCCCGATTCAACTTTTCATCCCCAGAAAGGGGGGTTGCAATGTGCGACGCTGTCGCCACATTCGGGGCCTGCTGGGGGGAATCAAAAAGTGACGTCATATGCGGACTAAGATTCGATTTCGCTATCCTTGGGTGTCTGCGAAATGCGGCACGGTCTCCACGCTCGAGGGCGACAGGGGGCTCCAGCGCAGCGGTGTTTTACCGAAATCTAGAATAAACCTCGCCGTTATTGGGGGGTTGCGGCGTGCGAAACGGTGGCCGCTTTCGAGGGTTGCTGGGGGGTCCAACCGCGCGACGTCTTACGCAGGCTCCGACTAAACCTCACCCTCCCTGTGGAATTGCGATTTGCATAACTGTCGGCATTTTCGAAGCCTGCTGTGGGGGCAAACGAAATGACGTTCTACGCAAACGCATACGAAACCCCACCATCCCTGTGGAGCTGGAGCCTGCGGGATTGTCGCCGCTTTCGGGCCTGCTGGGGGGTGCAGCACAGTGACGTCACACGCAGACTCAGAGAAACCCTGACCATCCCAGTGGGGCTGCGATGTGCGAAACGGCCGCCACTTTCGAAGTCTGCTTGGGCAGATCGAAGTCATACGCAGACTCAGACTCGACGTCACCATCCACTTGGGGCTGCGATCTGTGAATCTGCCGCTACGTCCGAAAGTCGCCCTCTGCTGTTTCGTTGGTTGTTCGGTTCTCCGTTCGCCGTCTCCTCCCAGTTCCCGCTTTCTTCCACGTCGATCGTAGCCTCCATCGAGCCAATGTCAATCGGTCGATGTCCTGCGAGTCGCGCAGCTTGCGGCCCTGCCAGGTAACGCTGGCAGGACGTGTACATCCTTGCCAGGCGACCGTTTCCTTTGAAACGTGCCCAACTATGCGAGCAACGCAAACGCAAAAGTTGGGCTCATCGTCGGGGTAAGTTGACCATGGAACCGAAGAGGCCTCCCAGACCCTTCCAAAGGCCCAAGGAGGGCCGCACACAACCCCAAAAAAAAACCCAAGAGGGCCCGACGAATGCCCCAAGAAACCCGACGGGGACCCCAAGAGGGCCGATTATTAGTCCCTGAAAAACCTGTCGCAACAACATGTTTCCAAAGCCCGGCTTCCCGCACTCCATGTCATCTTCGGGTCCTTGTTCCTTGTCCTTTCTTGCTTCCTCCCTCCTTTTCCTCATCTTCCTCATGCCGCACTCCTCCGCATCCTCCTCTTCCTCTTCATCGTCCTCCTTCTGCGCGATTCCTCCTGCTATTCCTCCTGTTCCTCTTCCTCTCCCTCCTTCCTCCTCCTCCCCCTCCCCCTCCCCGTCCTCCTGTTGCTCCTCCTAAACCAAAGATGGACCCTGGAGGTCGAGCATGGTTCGAGATAGCCTCCACGAGGCGCCAAGAGAGCCTCCAACTGTGTCTGGAAGGGCTGGCGGGGACACTTTTTGATCGCGAGCGACGCGGAGCCAACCGCGCGCCCTCAGGAAAGTCGCGTGAGTAGCGCAGGCTGGTGTCACAGGCGGCACGCAAGAACAATTGTTACAACGGTGGCGAGAACTACGCAACGGGAGTGGAGAACAAACGAGAGACACAAGAGAGAGCGAGGCGACGAGAAAGCGCGAGGCGACGACAGCGGGGGGAGAGACAACACCGGAAACCAGAGAGCTAAGCCGCAGCGCGGGCTCATACTAAGTAGCACACGGCCGCACCTTGCCGAACAGCATGTACTTGCCGTAACTCTCGACATGATGCCCAACCGACCCACTCGGATGCGGTGCCGCAAGCGGCGAGGACACAACGGAGTGGAACTCCGGCAGCGGGAGCGTTGAGCACTAGCGTATGGCCCATGCAGCCGGCAATCCATCAGGCCTCCTCCAGGGCAAGCGCGGCGGGAATGCAGAGGTCCTCACCTCTTTCGAAAGCGGGAAGGGGGGGGGGGGGGGGCGACCGAGAGAGGCAGCAGCCGGCTGGGAAGCGGGGGGCGTCGTCGACAGCAACCGGAAAAATATGGGTGTTTCATGGAAGGTTGCCTGGCGTTCGCCACCCAGGCCTGCAGGTGTTCGGCTCGCCCAAAAGCATGGCAACAAAAGGGGCTCACGGCCACCAGGGCCTGGAGGCAAAACACTGGTGCGTCTGGGCTTCTCCCTGCCCCGAAGACCGAGGCCCCGCCACTGGACCACGGGGGGACCCCCTCCTCCGTCCGCCCGCTGCTGCTGAAGAGGGGGTGGCGGAGGCTGAGGGGGACGAGGGCGGCCAGGAGGCTAAGGATGACGGCTTTCAGCTCGGGTCCAGCCAGCAGTGGAGAACCCAAGACCACTCGACTTTGAAAGTGGGGGTGCCTGGA